AAAATCACAATGCCGATCTAAGCCTAGGTGTTTTCGTTGTACTCTAGCCCATTCTGGTGATGATTGTAATATCCCTTAAAAAGGAGTCATTATGTTTATTTTGTACTGCATCACACTATGCGACCAACAAAGCTTGTCCATAACATAATCGACAAAAAAATATAAAGAATTGTATGTCTCAGGAAAGCATTTCTTATCTCGAAGCATCGGCTCGGTTTAGACCTATCAGTTCATTCAGTTTATCCCAGCCCATTACTATACCTTCCCAAGTTTCCCGTCAGACTACTTCATACAGGAAAACTGTATTTCTCCCTTCTCGCTCTAGGCCAACATCAGGAAAATCCTTTGATAAGGCGGCCCATGAGGCCATTACTTCCAATTTATCCTCCTCTTTACCCAATGGTTGTGCCGTAAGCTCCCCTTCCCTTATCAACAATGAAGTCTCCCCAAATGAAAATCTTCGTGACTGCTTATGGGCAGTCATTTGTAACATGCTATCTAAGTATGATGACATCCCCATACCGTCCCACGTTGCCCAAAAAATTAATTTGCTCCACTCATTCGTCACCAAAAATGGCGAATCTGGTAATTCAGTGGAATTGTATCAGTATTCGCAGTAAAAAATCCGAATTAACCTTTCTTATCAATAAATTCGCTCCATCTATTCTAGCCATTTCGGAGACTTGGTTATTGCCGCTTTAGGGTTTCTGGGTATCGGTGTCTCCGAGATGACAGGGATGATGGCTATGCTGGCTGTGCCTTTTTGGTCAGCCGATCTCTCACCTTCCACTCATTATCTCTTCCTCATTGTGATGGTATTAATGCTGTTGCTATGAGTGCTTTTAATATCTCGTTTATTTCTGTTTATATTCCCCACCTCCATTTCGACCTCATTTCTGATATACGTTCTATTATCCTTTCGGTTCCTCCTCCTGTTATCATGTTGGGTGATTTCAATGTCCACCATGTTTCTTGGGGTTGTCATTCCTCAGACTCTTTTGGGTCCCTTCTACTAGATTTACTCGATGATATAAACATAAGTGTCTTGAATAATGGTTGTCCTACGAGAAGGAGTCTTCCATCTCCCGCTAGCGCAGTGGATTTATCACTTTGTTCTCCTGATCTTTTCCCTTTTCCATCCTGGCGTGTTTTTAAGAGCACTTGTGGGAGTGACCACTAATTGATCTCCCAACCAATTTAAGGAGTGTTACTCACCCTTCCCCTCTTTTAAAGTTTAAACTGAATCAGGCCAATTGGTCAGACTTTTCATCTTCTATTGACTCTAAGATAGCTGTGCTCCCCGCAGTTTCTGCTGAAAACTGCCTATACAATGATTTTGTCAACTCCCTTACATCATCTGCCAGTTTACATATCCCACTCAAATCTTCTACACAAAGGAAAATTTATCCTCCTTGGTGGGATTCCGAATGTACTGAGATGATTCGAAAAAGAAAAGCGGCAGAAAGGTCATACAGTCTTTGCATGACCTTGGAAATTTTTTTAGTCTACCAACAAGCTTCTGCAGCTGCTCGCTGACTTCTTAATAATAAGAAACGTCTTGGTTGGCATAAGTTCTGTGAGAGCATGTGCCCTGATACCCCTTCGTCTGTTGTTTGGAGGCAGATCAGAAGATTCCGTTGTTCCCTCAATTCTTATGATGTCCCTTTTAATGATCCGTCTAGCTGGATTACCTCCTTTGCCGACAAATTGGCTCCTCCATGAGTCCCTTTTTATGATTGTCTTCCTTATAAGTATAATTCTTACATCCCCTCTTCAAACAGTCTAGATTGTCAATTCTCCTTGGAAGAACTTAACAAAGCATTAAATGGTCTCTCAGGGGAAGAGCCCCTGGAGAAGATGGAATCCCCTACTCATTCCTCATAAATTCTTCATTAGGCATTAAGAGGTATTTTCTAGATTTAGTAAACTGTTTTTTCGATCTTGGAATTATTCCTGATTCGTGGAACAGACAAATCATCATTCCGCTTCTAAAACCTGCCAAAGATCCATCAGATTTCTCTTCATACAGACCTATTGCTTTGTCTTCTACCCTTTTAAAAATTATGGAACATTTGATTAAAATTAGTTTAGAATGGTTTTGTGAAAGTAACAATATCCTTGCAAAATCCCAGTTTGGTTTCAGGAAAGGCTTGAGTACGATGGATAGCCTAAGTATAATAACGACCGACATTCGCATTGCTTTTAAAAAGAAACAGTTCCTGGTGGGTGTTTTCTTGGATATCGCATCTGCGTATGACCATGTGCTGGTTCCGGTGCTCAGGCAAAAAATGCTTCAGCTGAGTATTCCTGAGAAGTTGGTACGTTTTGTTTGCAATGCAGTTTCGAATCGTTATATTATTATAAGATCCCAAAATACGGAGCTGTCTCCTAGAACCTTACCTCAAGGTTCTGTTTTGAGTCCTCTTCTGTACAACATTTACACCTATGACTTGGAGCTTGTTGTAAATTCCTTCTGTCAGATCCTTCAATACGCGGACGATGTAGCCTTATACTTTTCATCAAATTCTATTGAAGAGGCATCATCACGCCTAAATTCGGCTTTGGATTACTTGGGTGATTGGTTAAATGATCATGGTCTCTCTTTTTTGTGTCCAAATGTTCGACGGTCACGTTTACTACAAAATACAAGGTTCCAAGGTGTAACATTTCATATAAAGGGTCCTCGGTATCTTGTTGTAAGCATGTAAAATTTTTAGAGAATTTATGAGAAGGGTGTTAATGTTCTCCGTTCATTATCTGGTGTGAGGTGGGGAGCACACCCCTACTCGCAAAAGCTTTTATACAATGCTGTGGTACGAAGTCATTTTGATTATGGCACCTTCCTTTTAGATCCTGGCAACAAGCAAGCCCTTGATAAAATTTCCAAAATTCAATCGAAATCCTTTACGCATCATCCTTGGTGCTATGAAATCCTCTCCCATCAATTCTCTCCAAATAGAATGTGTTGACCCCCCCCTGTATTTACGTAGACAATTTTTAAGTGACCGCTTCTTCATCAAAGTCCTTCAATACTCTTCACATTCCATCTTGTCCAAATTACGTCACTTATCTAATCTCACGATGCCATCTAGTACAGGTAATGTTCCAAAACACAGTTTTAATAAACTTTCTCGTCTTCCTAATCCTGTTGAAAGTTTCCCTAGTAATCCCTTGTTTTTAAATAGTTATGAATCCCTCATTTTTGATCCTAAAATAATTTTAAACTTTGGAATTGAAAAAAAATCCACCCAAGCTTCCATTTGTTTTCTGAAAAAATTTCAAAGGACTGGCAGGGTTGGTTACCGATGTATAATGATGCTTCCAAGATTCCCAGTAATGAGTGCATCGGTGCGGCTGTATGGGTCCCTTCATACAAAACAGTATTGAGCTATAAACTTCCTCCATTGACCTCCGTTTTTTCAGGTGAAGCTTTTGCAATCCTAGAAGCGGTTTTGTATGCCGAGTCCCACAACCTGAATAAAGTTACAATTTTTCCGATTCTCGCAGCTGCTTACAGGCAATTCTTTCCAATCCATTCAGGTCTAAAAAAAACATAATATGATTCTAAAAATAAGAGAAGCTTTGTTTAGGTGTAGTAAAAAAGATATTCATATTGTACTTTTGTGGATACCTAGTCATTGTCGTATAGCGGGTAATGAAACTGCTGACTCTTGTGCAAAAGGTGCTATTTTCTGCGGATCTTGTCAGCATCCTAACATCTCGGCCCACGACCTATCAGCTCTTGCGTAGGTACTCCCACCTTTTAAAATCCTGGACTATTGATTGACAATCTTCTAAAGAAAAAACTGGCAGGCACTATGCTAATATTCAGTATTCAATCCCTTCTTCGCCGTGGTTTTTTAAATATAAGTTTTTAAACAAAAAGGTCACGTCTATAATCTGCCGTCTTCGTATAGGGCACGCTTGTACTCCCGTTCATCTAGCCAAAATTAAAATTAAAGACAGTTCTCTCTGTGAGTGTGGTATGGACGAGGGCTCGACAGACCATATATTTTTAACTGTTCTTTAATTAATGACTCGTTATTTGACCATCTTTCTCCAGATTTCCCTCGTCCATGTAACCTTAACTCCCTACTTTTCCTCCCATCCAGCCCGATCGTCAAAATTTTAGGGAAATTTATTTCTGTTAATAAATTAAAGTTATAAATAAGATTCTCCCCTCCATACCTTGTAGTAATTGTGATTTACACAGATAAATAAAGTGAAGTGAAGTGAAAAATTACTTAAATTTAAGACGAATTAGGGTTTTTATAAGCAAAACGTATCAAATTACAGTAACATCACCTAATTTGCTTCAATTGCAGCACCACACTGGTTCCGCAAAATTGTAGCATAAATAAATTTTACGTTTTCCACGAATTTAATTTTTTTGTAAAATGTTGTTACTTATAACAAAAATTGTAATCTCGCAATAATTTTAATAGGTAGGTATATATTTGCTTGTTTAAATATCGTTGTATCAGTCACGATTAAATAATTTGTATAACAAATATAATTTTCTTTGAAGAATTAAAATGTGTGGAAAATATATTTACCACAGCGATACTAAATGCGTGATAAGTCTCTGAAGATGCCAACGTTCGTCTCCAATTTTTAATATGTAGGTACCTAGTTTAAGAATATTGTAGATACTGTTAATAAATAATATCATGTAGTCGTAAAATGGCAATGATAACTTATAAAATACATATAGATATAAGCCTTCTAATTTCTTCAATTGCTGTAGATTTAAAATTTTAGAGCTTCATTCTTTTAAATTCAAAAGTACCTACTCAATAAAATATTATCAGTTTGATAGATAAGTCAGACGCAGTTGTTGTTTTTAAATGCAATCTAAAATGTTTAAACCATATGGCCCTTGTTAGATTTTCCATGCATGGGCGTATCATAACGCCCCCTTTTGGATATGATAATTTTTACTAATAATTGAAAAACAGTATTCTCTTATTGTCCATGTAGATCGCTCGTATTCATGGACAATGACTTACTTTTTATTGAAGTTTCTATTCTTAATTCTTTGTATTGTGCATTCAAAGAGTGATATTTATAAAAATCGACCAAAAATTACAACAGCCGATGGTGATTTAATAATTGAATCTTCCTACAATAAAAATATATATTTAAAACCAAATGGACCAAGATCAAGTATTTTTGTTGGAAACATTAATTTACTGGACATTAATATTACCAAGAAAGAAGAAATTTGGAAGCCATCCGTTGAATACAGAGATAGTGACCGAGGTAATAAAATTGGAGATCTCAATGATATTATAGGAAGAATTGAACGCTTGGAAAGTTTTAGTACCACATTGCCTTCTACTATTTCTTTAAATGTCACTTACCTCACACGACAAATTAATACATTAAGAAACAGGATACGCACCATTCAGAGTTTAATTAATAGAAAAGGAAAGGATGAATGTCAGTCACATCCTTGTGAGAACGGCGGGACGTGTTTAAATCTTGTCAATGGATATTATTGCTTATGTCCGTCCAATTGGAAAGGAGTTAATTGTGATGAAGATGTCAATGAATGTAGAAATTATGCTGGCACAGATTTAGGATGCCAAAATGGTGCTACATGCATTAACAGGCCTGGCTCTTACGAGTGTATTTGTAAGCCCGGATGGTTTGGCCTACACTGTACCAGAAAAGAGAGAAATTGTACTGGCAATGACTATGAAATTTGCGGGCATGGCACCTGTTTACAAGTAACCACTGGTGTCGGAATAAAGTGCCTCTGTAATCAGGGATGGACAACAAATGACACGAGTATCGCATGTCTCACTGACGTAAATGAATGTTTATCATCTCAAGGTCCTCGGTGTTCCATAAACCCACCCGTCGATTGCATTAACCTACCTGGTTCATTTGTTTGTGGCTCATGTCCTGTCGGTTATGAAGGAGATGGTTACGTTTGTCATGATGTCGATGAATGTCTCACTTTGCCCAACGGTGGATGCAGTTTGAGTCCGAGAGTATCTTGTCATAACACGATAGGTTCTCGACTCTGTGGCCCCTGTCCACCGGGCTTTGAAGGTGACGGTGTTACCTGCACATGGAGAGGTTCGTGCAGCATAAACAGGGGTGGCTGCCATCCTTCCGCTCAATGTGTTGAAACTCCTGGCTATGGAGGACAAATAGTGCAATGTGTTTGCCCGCAGGGCATGTCAGGAGATGGAATTGGTACTAACGGATGCTTTGTAGCTTCAAATAATCTAAGTAATGGTACTGGATGCGAAAACTATCCTTGTGGGGCGTACGGCGTCTGTCATCAACTCCGTTTCGGATACACCTGTATATGTGATGAAGGATATGGCGGCGTTCACTGTGACATTCAATCTGGTATCTGTTCCAACAACCCCTGTTTAAATGGTGGAACGTGTAGAAGCGATGGAAGATCGGCGCGACGATTTCGATGTGAATGTACAGCTATGTTTACGGGTGATTTGTGTCAACTTCGAGTAGAAATATGTGGCGGTGTGCTCGACGCGGAAGAAGGTAGTATAATTTATCCTCCAACTAACACAACATATAGACCAAATGCACGATGCGCATGGGTAATACACACATCTCCAGATAAAGTTATTAATGTGACCTTTAGTAAATTCCATTTAGAACATCACGCCGAATGTTATTATGATTTTGTTCAAATTCATGACGGCAGAAGTTCAGCCAGCCAGCTAGTAGGTAGGTTTTGTGGTAATGATTTGCCAAAAGGAGGAAACATTATATCTAGTCACAATAATTTATACTTTTGGTTTCGTTCCGATCAAACTATATCGGGAGAGGGATTTGCCTTGCATTGGAACAGTATAAGTCCAATTTGTGGAGGTATTATTGATGCTACTCAGCATGGCCGGGTTAATTCGCCAGGTTCACCTGGTCCATATCCCCCAAATCGTGATTGCTATTGGCGCTTAAACACAAATTTAGGTAAAAGAATACAATTACATTTCTTCCAGTTGGATTTGGAAACACACCCAAATTGTAGTTTTGATTATCTAGCAATATACGATGGATTACACGATACCGATCCATTGTTAAATAAATACTGTAATTCCTCTCAACCGGCACCAGTGCAATCATCGAGTCCCGAAATACTTATTCATTTTCATTCTGATGCCTATGGATCTGGAAAAGGCTTTCAAATCACTTATGCCCCGGTGGAAGGTGTGCCTGGTTGCGGTGGCTTTTATACTGCTGACAAAGGTGAAATAACTTCCCCAAGTTACAACAGTAAATATCTTAATAATCTTATTTGCGATTACAAAATACAAACTAGCCCCGAAACAAAAGTTCGAGTCACATTTCGGTCTTTCAATTTAGAGAGGTCATTTAGATGTAGATTTGATTATATCGTAATTTATGACGGACCTAATGAGGATTCTAAGCAGGTAGGCAAATTTTGTGGCAATACGATTCCAAAGAGCTACACGTCGTCTTCCAATAGTTTATTTATTAGATTTAAATCAGACCAAAGCATATCTTCAGGTGGGTTTAAAGTTGCATATGAATCTATTTGCCATAAATCAATAATGGGAGATAGTGGAATTATAAAATCACCAGGCTATCCTTTCAAATATCCCAAAAATACAGTCTGTGAATATGTTATAGGAACATCTCCGGGAAAAATTGTACAGCTGTCATTTCAAGATTTCGATATTGAAGATAATCGATTTTATAATTGTCAATATGACTATGTAGAGGTCCGTGATGGACCAACATCTAATTCATCACTGCTTGGTAGATATTGTGGGGGTTCAGATCATATTCCACCGATACAAACGTCTTCTTTTAATTATTTGTTCATCGGGTTCCATTCTGACATGAGTATATCGGGGACAGGTTTTTTCGCAAATTACACGACTTTAGATATAGAATGCGGAGGTATATATAGGGAAACGACGGGACTTATAAACTATCCGGGTTCCGGTAAGGTATATTATAAGAACGATCAGTCGTGTACGTGGCTTTTGATTGCGCCCGAAGCAATGCACATTAAATTGACATGGAATAGATTCGATACTGAGATACAATTCACTTGTGAAAATGACTTTCTAGAATTGATTGAAATTGATGATGATTATAATATAAATGGTACTAGTTTAGGTAAATATTGCGGTAAATCACTTCCACCAGCTTTAACTACCACATCAAACAAACTAATGATAAAGTTTCAATCGGATTTAAGCGTCAATGGTCTCGGCTTTTCACTTTCATATACATTTATAGATGAAAAATCACACTGTGGCGGTGTTTATATTAAAACGAGTGGTTACATACATTCTCCTGGGTGGCCGGACAATTATGAACCCAACAAAGATTGTACTTGGACGATTTCTGTGCCTATTGGCCAGCAAATTGCCTTAAAGATTAAAGATTTTGATTTAGAAATGCCTATTAGAGAAAAATGTGATTTAGGTGATTATTTGTTGATTAGAGATGGATCATCTGATAGCGCACCTTTGCTTGCTAAATTATGTGGCTCTTTTAAAACAAAACGTATCGTCTCCACCGCTCACAATCTTTACATTCACTTCCATTCCGATTTCTATTTATCGGGGAAAGGATTTAGTATAGAATGGGATGGAGCACTAAGGGGCTGTGGCGGGACATTAACAAGCGTCGCCGGATCGATATCCTCTCCTAATTATCCACAAGATTATAACGACGATGCGGAATGTTTCTATAAAATTGTTACTAGTAGTGGCTCGCGTATACGAATTGTGTTTGCAGACTTGGACTTAGAACAAACATTGAACTGTAGGGACGACTATGTAGAAATATATGACGGACGCGATGTCTATGCCCCTAGTTTAGGGAGGTTTTGTGATTTGAATAATAATCAGACCAGTATTGAAACTAAAAGCAACTATGCATTCATAAAGTTTAGATCAGATATATTTTTGGGTGGAAAAGGATTTTTGCTTAATTATGAAACAATTTGTAATACAAATATAAGCGGCAGCTACGGCGTTATAGAAAGTCCTGGATATCCTAACAATTATCCTCTTAATTTGAATTGTATTTGGAACATCACAGTTGGATTGGGCAATAAAATAAATATAACCTTCACCCATTTTAACATCTTTTCTTTTCAATATAGACCCCGATTAAGAGGCATTCCACCTTGGAACAGATATCGGAGTCCTTGGGTCGTTCATAATAGTTCTTTTAATTATTCTCCCTTATACCACACTTATATACAAGGGGGTCCACAATGCGAATCATATTTACAATTTAAGGAGATAACTGAAGAAAATTTTTCGGACAAGCTCTGTGGTACCTCACTGCCACCTCCAATTTCAACGAAAAGTAATTCAATGCAAATTAATTTTGTCAGTGGCTATTTCAATGCTGCTAATGGATTCAGGCTGGAATGGGTGAAAGATGGATGTGGCGCATACCTGAAAAAACAGCGTGGTGATATTGAGCTACCTAAGAATATAATATATTCTAACAAAGGTCTAGAATGTGAATGGGTGATAGAAACGCTACCAGGGAGCCGAGTGACTGTAATATTAAACGATATATTTGTTGAGGAGACAAAGAACTGTACAGTCGATTCCATCGAATTTTATAATGGGCAAAGCAGTTCATCCCATTTGATAAGTAAAATATGTCACCGGGGTTCTAACACCATCCAATCAAGCAGTAACTATATGTTTGTAAAGTTTGTTAAAAAGTCTTCCTTACGAGATGTCTACTTTTCAGCTTATTATGATTCGGATACGTCTGGTTGCGGTGGTCGCATAACGTCTCGCACCGGTGTCATAACATCCGAAAACTATCCGAAAAACTACAATGATAATATGGATTGCTTATGGTACATAACGGTACCGGATAATCATAGAATAGAATTGAATTTTCTGGATCTTGATCTTTACTCGGTCGACGATGATGATGAAAGTTATTGTGGTGACTCCATTAAAATATATGAAAATTCGTATATTGCAGATACTAATTATACTCATCTTATATGCCCCAAGTCAAACGTGTCTCAAATAATTTCCAACACATCTTATATGGTATTACAATTTACTACGGACACATTTGGCTCGGCGAAAGGATTCAAAGCTAACTTTTCTGCCACCTGTGGTGCTGTTATAGAAGCAAAGTATGATGGCGTTATAACCAATGATCGGTTTCTCAGCCAAAATCTTCATAATTGTACTTGGGTTATCTTATCACACGATTTAGGAGAAAAAATAAAACTTACCATGGAACACATGTCAATACCGCGTACAATTGAAAAAGTTTCAAATAAAGAATGCCCTTCATCCTTTTTTAAAATTTTTGACGGTAACGACATTAACTCTCCAGTAATCGGAGAATTTTGTGGTTATAAGGTTCCTAGTGAAATTGTCAGTCACGGCAGTGCACTAACAATTATGCATGGAACATATGGGGACACTTTGAGCGGTTCTTTTACAGCGCACTATTCGACTTTATCAAGCGCCTGTGGAGGCACAGTATTATCTGAAGAAGGGTCAATCGCATCGCCAAATTATCCGCTCTCTTACCCTCTCGGAACTAATTGTGAATGGACATTACAAGCATCTCCCGGAAACAGTATGTATGTAACGTTTGAAGCTTTCAATATAGTTAACTCAGATCGCTGCAATGAAGATTACTTAGAAATACGAGAAAATAATGGTGGCGGTCGGTTGCTGGGAGTTTATTGTGGTGAAACTGTACCGGTTAATACCACTACTGGTTCAGCAATTTACATAAAATTTCATAGTGGTTATCTAAGTTCCGGTACAGGTTTCCTGGCTCATTTTGGAATTCTGCACCAAAATGAGATAACTGAGAAATCCCAAGGAGAAATATCGTCCCCGCTTTATCCTCACGCCTACAACAGAGAAGGTGAATTTTCATGGCGTATTATTGGTAAACTGACCAGTAGTATTACTTTAAATATCAATGAATTAGTAATTCCAAAGCGAGGGGAAGTTTGTGATAGTAAACTTATTATTTACGATGGTTATGACGAAGAAGCACCAATACTCGAGACAGTATGTGGTATAATAAGAAATGAGGATAAAATATTGACTGCTAGAAGTTCTCTCGTGTATATACGATTTGTCATAACTGAACCAGACATTGATACCGTATTCAACATAAAGTGGTCTCAAACTCAATCAGATTTGATCAGAACAGAAGGTGGAACGTTGAAAAGATGTGGTTATAATGAAAGCAGAGTTATAGCCGGCGGGGCAGTGGTTAATTTTCATTCGCCCAACTATCCAGAAGAATATGGTGAAAATTTGTTTTGTGAATGGGTGTTTGAAGCAACTGTAGGTCGCCATTTGCAATTAAACTTTAATGATTTTAAATTAGAAGAATCTTCTGCATGCTATGCCGATCATGTATCAATATATTCGCGAAACTTGAAAGAAGATTGGAAATTAGTAAAAGAAAATCTTTGTTTATTTGAGAATGCAAAGCAAGGATTTGAAATATCACAGTTACTAAAGGTAATATTACAAACAGACAGTTCAATTGCTGAGAAGGGTTTCTCCGCTAGTGTAAAATCAAAATGTGGAGGACTTATTTCTAAGGAGTCTGGTACGATTGAATTCTCTTGGGACGAACGTGATTTTAGAAATAACATCCGCTGCAATTGGACAATCAAAGTTCGACCTGGCCGCACAGTTAAAATAGATTTTGAGCATTTCAATATAACAAATGAGCTCGAGTGTAATCAGTATGTAATGATTCGAAATGGTGAAAGTTTCGAGTCTCCTATATTAGGGGCGGGTAAATTTTGTGGATATTCACATGAAGTTAGGGAAAGCCTAATATCGTCAGGCAATGCCATTTACGTAAGTTATGTTAACAATAATCACCACATTACTTCCGTAGTAACGACATTCGAAACCTTCAAGTTGCGTTTTGAAGAGAAAAACATAGAATGTGGCTCAACTTCGGCTATAGATAGTGACAAGAAATGGGAAGTGATATCTTCCCCTAACTATCCATCAGTACCAATGCCCTATTCAGAATGTGTGTGGGTATTAACAGGACCACCTGGAGAAAAATTGAGAATAGAATTTATCGATAGATTTGACATTGATGGACGAGATGATTGTAAAGACGAGTCAATCGAAGTACATGATGGCGCATCAGCGTTGGCTCCAACGATTGGTGTATACTGTGGAACTAAGCCAGGTACAGTCAGATCAAGCAGTAATGCCCTATACATTAAATATTCAACGATGTTGTCTGAGCCAAGAAATGGTTTCAAGGCGAATATTTCTACTGATGTGTGTGGCGGAACTATTATAGCTGAATCCGGAGAAATTACATCGCCGGGATATCCTCATATGCTTATCTTGCCAACGGGATCTTTATGTAGATGGCATATTATATCTCCTTTAAAAAATGTTATTAAGTTTTATATGGTAGATTTTAATATTCCAGAATCAAGGCACGATTGTCAAATAAATGTAACCGTCATGGAATCACTACCGATGAACAAAACCGCTTCAAATCTAATGGAGTTTTGTAGTGATGCTCCTCCAGTATCAAACACTGTTATAGAAACGAGTACGAATGAAGCGACTATATCATTTTTTGTGGGAGATCCTAGTTCATACACTCAAATATCTGAGTATAAAGGTTTCAAAATGACATTTAATTCATCAAGACCTTCATGTGGTGGGACGCTAATGCAGTCTGAAGGCTATTTGACAACACCCGGTTATCCTCGCACAACTTCATTGCGTTTTTGCCAGTGGTTAGTATTCATACCCGATAGAACAAGAAGAGTGAAACTAGAAATTATTGATTATAACGAGAATGAAAGAATAGGTATTTACAATGACGCTACATTTGAATCTCTTATAGATATATATAGCGGAAAGAATATAAGCGGAAATCCTTTGATTTATGAATCTTCAGGTAATACTATTGCAGTGTATCTACTTATGAAAATGTCTTCATCTCAAAGTTACCCACAAAGATTTAAAGCTAGGTTTACTTCGGATGAACCTGCGTTATGCGGTGATAGTCTTCAGGGTACAAGTGGTAAAATTACTGCTCCTGATTTACAGCGCTCTTACGTCTGCAAGTGGACGTATAATTTCGCGGATAGCTACAAATTTAGCAATTACTCTGATTACAATACTATGTTTATAAGTATTACTAACACATTTTCCCGGGAATCGAAATGTTATTATTCCCATTCAAGGCTCATTATTGATGTTCCAATTGAAAATACAGGTCAAAAATTCACTCGAACTGTATGTGGAAATCAAACGGAAATTTCCTATAGAATCCCGCTTACATCATTAACACTGAGGGCAATTCAAGTTAATCTTGAACCTCTTTTGTTTAATGTTGAATGGAAACTTCAGCCATGTGGAGGAGTTGTTCATCTCTCACAAGAACCCAGAAATATGTTGAATATACCAAAATCATTTAATCATACTTTAGATTGTGGATGGATAGTAATCGCTCCTCCTGGAGTTAGAATAGAAACAAGTATTGAGGGAATCTTTAACCACGATTGTTCAGATGAATTTTTAACTGTTCATCATGGTTTGACACAATCAATGTCTGTTTTAGAGTATTGCAAAAATAAAATACCCGCAAAATCAATCGTTACATCTTTTATGAATACATTCATCCAGTATCATTCTAAAGCTCAACAATCTACTAATTTAAAACTGGTTATGAAAGTTGCTAGCAGCCAGTGTGGCGGCTATTTAGATGGGTATGAAAGAATATTTTCCTCACCTAACTACCCAAATCATTATGATGAAAATACAGAATGTACTTGGGTAATACAAGCATCTATAGGTTACAGAGTTTCACTTTCATTTTTTCAACGATTTGTTGTAGAAGATACCGTTAATTGCACTAAAGATGCAGTTATTATATATGACTGGGTAAATGGATCATACCAGGAATTGGCTAAACTGTGCGGGCGAGAAATTCCATCTGTATTAAATTCAACTTCAACTCGGATGAAAGTCGTTTTTCGTACTGATTCTAATATTAATCTAGATGGTTTTACAGCAGAGTGGACTGAAATTTGTGGCGGTGTATTCACAGCTACGGATATAGATCAATTTATTTACAGCCCTGGATACGGCAGCGGTTATGGTCCGTTACTTGATTGTTCATATGAAATTCTTGCTCCGACAAACAACAAGTTAATCGTGCAGTTTCAAGACTTTGCGCTTGAAGGTATCTACCCAGAATGTAAATATGACAATCTCACCATAACTGGTGAGCGTGAATACAACTTTCTATTAAAGATATTTTGTGGTAAACATATCCCACCAATTTTAGAGAACTATGAGAAAGTCATGATAAATTTCAAAACAGATAGTATTGGTCAAGATAAAGGCTTTAAACTGTCATACTCGTTGTATAAGTGTGGTGGAAAAATCACTGAGCCTACAATGATTAGAACAGGATCCGCTGAAGAATATTTTAACGGCCTTAATTGTACTTGGATAATTGAGGCCCCTTCAGATAAAGTTGTCATAGTTAACTTTGCATATATTGACATAGAACCACATTATTCCTGTTCCAATGATTATATTGCTGTTTTTGATGGATCGCAAATAGAAAATGATCACCGATTAGCTTTGTTATGCGGAAAAATTAATTCTTCTACTGTAATAAAGAGTAATAGTAGTAGGGCAATTGTACAATTTGTGTCTGATGACTTTTTGAACTACAAAGGCTTTCAGGCCCAAATTAGTTTCAGCTATGGCGAAGCCGTTGGATGTGGAGGTGTTATCAGTTTATTATCTGTTACTCAATACTCTTTAAAATCCCCACGGATAGGTAATTCATTTGTATACGAAAACTACTTAGATTGCCATTGGTTTGTGAATGCCCCAGAAGATCATGTTGTTAAAGTTGAATTTACAGCTTTTCATGTATCACCATGCGCTGATGTGAATCAAACAGCGATAGGTATTAGAAAATGCAGCTGTGACTTCGTTGAGATACGCGATGGGCTCAATCCAAATAGTCTTTTGATTGATAAGTTCTGTGGGCACACTTTGCCACCTGCGATAGTATCATCGACTAATGTTTTAAGTATCAGATTGTCAACTGATGGTGAAATAGTGAGTTCTGGCTTTGAAATAAGTTTAAGTGTACAGTCTTCCAGATGTTATCCAACAGAAATATCGATAGATTTTAATGTTAAAAAAATACAATCGCCTGGATTTGAAAATGGTATTGTCCCGCGGGGATTACATTGTAAATACTTTCTGAAGGAATCTAGGTCTTTCGATGCAATACATTTACGAGTAAACTATCTTGACTTAGAACCAGGTACAGGAAATCATTGTATAAACGACAAGCTGATTATAACAAGTGTTCCTCAAACACATAATCTCACCATAGGAAAAAATTTTGTATTGAATAAAAACAGCGACAATTTCTTTGTATACTCATCATTGTATGATCCCCTTTTAACGTTTCCGGAACACTTTGTTTTGTGTGGGTCAAATAAGTCATTTGATTTCTATTTACACGGCAACATTAATATCAATCTAATAACTTCCGCTGAGACCACTTTAACTCACAAAGGTGTAGAATTGGAGGTGGCATACGTTGGTCACTGTGGAGGAAAAGGAAATTATACAGAGCCTTATGGACATATAGTAAACAGTTTTTATGAAGATCACAATGACAAACTAGTTAGTTGCTCTACATTAATAACTGCTCCGGAAAATTACACAATATCGATATATATAAATGAACTATACCCTAGCTATTTCCACGATATAGCTTATTTTGAAATTCTTGACGGTGATAAATTGTCGTCTCCAAGTTTATGTAAGGTCCAATCAACGTTTAATATGCAATCAGTAAGTTCGACAGGAAGATATTTGCTGTTGCACACTGTGATGAAAGGCACTGAGCAAATAATTTATAATATCAATTATGTTACAACAGACAAAGGGCGGGGATGTGGAGGAAAACTTGTAAATGAGTTGGGTAGAATAACAAGTCCTATGTATCCAGACGTTTATAGAAAGCGTTCAACGTGTGAATGGGAGCTTGAGACGCCGATTGGCACTCGGCTCCGACTGCACTTTAGTGAATTTGATTTAGGTGTTCTATGCGATCAGAATTATGTTAGTTTGGTTGATAGGAATGGCAACTTCGTTTCATCATATTGTTCTGAAACGCCGGCTGACTATACTAGCGAAGACAATTATGTTAAAGTTGTTTATACCACTACAATGAGCAATGGTGGGACTGGCTGGGTAGCAGATTTTGTAGGTATTCTTGATTTTTAATCATGGGTAGTATGGAGTGTACTTTATAGATAAAGCTTAATTTTAAGTAAATGTAGAAAATGTGATTTGGAACGTTTTAGTTTATTCCAGAAACTGAATCATTCATTCAGTCAACTTTGGAGTTGTAATTATTTGTAATAATTAAGTTTCTGGAATTTCCTACAGACTCTAAAATATATTACTTTGTTTTTCTTATAAACTTAAATGTATATACAAATATACATATTGTATTGTAACATAAAAAGTATGACATTAAATAAATAACATAAATATTGTAATCATATGGTACTAAAATTATGATTGAAATATATGAATTGTTTTATACTTGTCGTAGTGTTTCATTTATCACTTCGGAGAAACTGAGTAACATATTAATTCATGCCGGAGCGATGACGTTACTGTCATTCTAAGTCACATTGCTTATAAATTAACAACTCCCAAGTCAGTTTAAAGCCGTGTCAGTACTTGGGGCTTGATACAAAATCAGTGTTGGACAGTCGTGACCCACTATCGTTAAAGGAACTTGTATAGGAATGACTTTAGCTCACGCTTTGTGACCATAATCATACAAATTGGTTTGGTATTATTAGTGGGCAACGCCTGTCGAAAAGTGATTTTTCTCAAGCCCCATTGGTTAAGTCGATTTACCAATATTGCTTAAAATATCTAAAAATTCACGAAAATTCGATTACATAATCATTATTAAAAGTAATATATTATGTCGGAGCAATGGCGTTGCTGCCATTGTCATTATGCCATAGAGCTTATAAATTAACAACACCAATGTCAAATCTGTTCAAAACCTTTAACATTAGTATAGGTCTACCAGAATCTGATGGCAAAAAAAAAGTTTAAAAATTAGCGATTTTCATATGGCAATAAAAGAAAAATTTCATATGTCAACTGAAATTTCGAGGAATTGTTTTTAGTCTGGCTTCAAATTTCCTTTAAAAAGTGATGAAAATGTCGAAGAAACCTCTTCTATCGCAAGCAAGACATTTTGTTTTCAATGTTTATTAAAGAATACTTGATCAACAAGATGCAGAACATACACAATCATCGATATTGAGCTACGTGCAAGCGTTGACTGGTTAGTTGGAATGACACGTGTTGATACTTTGGTTTATGGGATTTTTCGTGTGTATTATATTATGTATTTATACTAAACTTTGGTTTATTTCAGGGGTTTCTTATACTACAAATAAACTTAGATAGTTTTGATTTAGAATTGATCAGAAACAAGATAAATGAGTTTTGCACTGTTTCTTTCTCTCAAATAGGGATCGATGCATGGCGAAAATCTTGTGAACATGTAATAAAAATTGAAAATCAGTTCATGGAACAAGATCGGTTAATTGAGATGCAGGAGGAAAGGTTTATCATAAATACTGCGTTGAAGACTTTTTTATGGATGTGCAGTATTTGGAACCATTTTCAAGTTCTTAATTGATTAATAAACTCATGAACGAAGAGTAATTGGAGTTTTCATCTAAATTTCAAACCCCACATTCGCCACATTTTCAAAAATTATCCTTGATCATTGAATAATTTTTTATATTTGCATGTATCACACAGAATCAGCCGCTATAAGGAAAAAAAAAGCATCAAAACGTTTTACTCCAATTTCCCCAGTATTGCTAGCGTCAATTTCTTTTTTCCCTTTTTGCCATCAGATCCTGGTAGACCTATAGTTTATTTGATTTACAAATATTGCTACATCGATAAATTAGCGACCCTTTAGTGGTCGATAGTAATAGGGATCCCATAGTTATTATTATTTTTAAAAGTAAATTAATAGCACTTTAAACCTTTAAAATTTAAATACAATCAATATAAAAGTCATCAATTAACACTGCTTTCTATAACTACAGGTCGACTCTGTAGTCGGTTCGAGTTTTGGCACGGAAGGAGTAGGGTCGGTTGTGAACAGTGAACCAACCAGGAACATTGAACCACCACCATGTTTAAAAAACTGCGAGGTTGCCAATTCGACCGATCGTGTTAAAACTTCTCTCGTAGGCACCCTTCCCCTCTCCCGTAGTTAGCCGGTGGCCGCGTCTTGAGCGTGACGTGTGACAGCGGTTTGTTTGTTTCTCGCCAAAAAAACATAGAATTCTCACGTAAGTATCTCGATTTTTATATATTTTGATATTAATTGTAGCACCAAAAGCATTATGGTGTCGATATTGTTGTAGTTTTAGACGTTTTATGAGCATATTGCTTTGTGACAATTCAGCCTACAACCTATTTTTTTTAAATATTATAAGTTGAATAGTGTGTGTATTAAACAGTGAAACAGGTTCGCATAGTACACAGTGAACCGGTTCACTGTGTACCTTACGATCCTGGTTCAATGTTCAATGATAGTGTTATGCTGAAAATCAATAATATTTTTGATTGTTTTAGAATGCCAAGGACAAGAAATAAGGAAAGAAAAATTGGAAAACACAATAAAGACGAAATGATGTCAGCATTACTAATGATAGAAAATGGTAGCTCCATTAGGACGGCGGCAAAAACCAGTAAAATTCCCTACCCTACATTGCGCCGTTACATTAAAAAAAAGCGTGAACATGGTGATTATATATCACTTGAACCGAGGTATAATATTAATAAAGTGTTTACTGAAGAACACGAACAAATATTATTAAAATACTACAAAGACTGTGCACTAATGTTCTACGGTTTGACCATCAAAGAATGTAGGAAGGTGGCTTACGCAATGGCAAAGGTTAATGGCATTAAAATACCCAGCTCATGGGAAAGGGATAAAATGTCAGGTTTATAATGGTTTCGCTTCTTTAAAAAAAGACATCCTGATATTTCAGTAAAGAAACCAGAAGCTGTAAGTCTCGCACGTGCTACCTCATTCAATCGGGAAGCTGTGGCAATATTTTTTAATAATTTGGAGGAATTGCTAAAACGGGAGCCTAGATTCGTGGATGGAACCCGAATATTTAATCTTGACGAAACCGGTACAACAACCGTCCAAAAACCACAGAAAGTTGTGGCTCCAACAGGAGCTAAAGTAGGTAAAGTGACAAGTGGAGAAAAAGGCACTCTTGTCACTACTTGCTGTATCGTTAGTGCCACAGGACATGCCCTGCCTCCTGCTTTAATATTTCCTCGGAAAAACTTTAAATACTTAATGATGCACGGTGCACCTCCAAGTAGTTTAGGTCTTGCGAGTCCTTCAGGTTGGATGACTAGTGACTTGTTCGTGGAGGTAATGAAGCATTTCATTAAGTGTTCAAGCACGACACCAGACATCTAGAGACAAGTCGTTCAAGTTTTTGTCACGCTATTACCCCTGCTCGAGAAAGTCCATCTATATTATCAGAAGAACAACACAGTTACTACCAAAACGTGACACCGTCAAAGCTACCAGATGAAGAATGCAAAGATGAAATTCATCAATCAAAAGAGCATATCATCACTCCACTAATGTTCCGTCCTCTGCTAAAGGCTGGTCCTCGTTCCAACAAACGGAAAGGTAGAAAATTGGGTAAAAGCATGATAGCAATGGACACTCCAGAAAAGGAAAGAATAGCTGAGGAACGCACTGCAGCATTAAATAGAAAAGGTCAGCATAAAAGAAAAGTTCTACAAGACTGTGGAAATAAAATCCTTCCATTAACAAGTAAAATCAGAAAGACACCATATAAGAAAAACATGAAAAAAATAGTTATACCAGATGACGACAGTGAAACCAGTGCAGGTGGAGATATAATCCTTGAAAGTGAAACGGACCTAGAATCGGTTGAGAAAGATAACCAAGGATATGAAATTATTGATGAAGATTTTACTGATTTACAGCGTAAGCCAATGATTAACGAATACGTCCTAGTCTTGCTGCAATGTAAAAAACGGGCTGTTTATTACGTTGCGAAGATTCTGGAAATAGAAACTGACGATGAATATTGCGTTTCGTACCTAAAATTAAAAGATCGTCAAAATAAAACCTTTATGTTTCCTCTAGAACCCGATATGGCTAATGTGAAAGTCAGTGACATTAAAATGATTCTTCCTCCTCCTTGTGTCAGGTACAAAACGTGTGATTAAATATTCCTTCAATGTAAACTTATCTTTACTAAATATGGTGTAAATAATTACCTACTTTGACGCATTTTGATGTTACGTTATTAAGAAGTTAACTGCTGTGAGAAGAGAAGAATAAGAAAACCATTTCTTTTTGTTATTAGAAGTAATATTTTTTTATTGTATTTTGTACAACAAAAATAAAAGACGATTATCAAAAATTTAATGTTTTTTTTTCACAAATAAGGATTCTTGCTGGTAACGAAATTGTGGTTCACTGTTGAAATACAGGTGGTTCAGTGTATACTCCCTATAGTACACAGTGAGCCAATTTTTGTTTTTTTTTTAAACTTTATTTACGGTCTTTATTTTTTTCTCTGGCTTTCTGTAACCTGAATATGAGAAACTGTATAAAATTGCCTAAACTATGACACCAAAACGAAATTCTTAACTTTAATTTCTTACAAGTTATATGACTTAGAAAAAAGGTTGGTTCACTGTTCAACAACGCACCCTACACGTAAAGTAACGAAACTTGTTATTGTTGACGTTTTATTTATTTATAACACTTCGTTACGTCAAACAAACTTATAAAAAAGCAGGTTACGTAAGTTACTAGGCAACGGGTGGCCTTATCGCTAACAAGCGATTTCTCACGCAATCCTAGTATGAAATAAAACACCCACTGTTACAAGGAATGCAGAAGTAATAAACAAAAAACAGTAACAATACAATCTTACAATACTGAGCTGAAGTCTAAACAGAAAATAATAATGAAAAAGTAAAAAAGATTCTTAAATGAACTTAAAGACTGAGCTAAGGAGTTCCAGCAGGAGCGATAGAATTCAGTTTTATGTGTTGGAATTTCAAAAATTAGACTGTCAAGGGAACGCCCATCAAAACTACCGCCAGAAAGAAAAATTTAGCTTTAGGCTAGGAGTTTAAACAAGGTAACCAGATGAGTTTTCTTCGGAATTCCGAAATATGATCAAATTTACGACGTTTTTTATCTTGTACACGCTCGAAATTATCAGGCTGCAGTTCAGTAAAATCTGGATAACATATATCAGCATAATCCAGAACATAAACTAGAAGAAAATAAGCAAGATAAATTTTATTAGGTACAAATAGGCAAAAAAAATACGTAGCCTATTCAGTGCGAGAGATGAAGACAAGAAGTTTCTGCTCCATTCATTAATTTGAGGCTGACAAGACTGTTGTCTTCTTTTGATTTTGTAGGTGATTAGTTAACGTGTCGTAATGAAACGGTGATGTGTTCTGACAAGAACAGAGCAAGAGTTAAAGAAACGGTCGTGTGTTCTGAAAAGAACAGTTGTTATCGTTGTCGTAAGACACGGTAATAATATGTCCTGACAAGGAAAGTTGTTAGACGTTATCGTACAGGTACAATATGTTCTGAAAAGAACAGTTTATAAACGTTTTCGTAAGATACGATAATATGTTTTGAAAAGAACAGTTTATTAGCGTTATCGTAAGGCTCCGATATTGTAGTGTTCTGAGAAGAACACGTTCGGTCGCTGCGACTATTATATTTATTGTATATTGTGATTGGATATATTATTATTAATACTTCGTAGGAAAATAACATTTTGTTCGACTTACAAAGTCTAAATAATTCGAGATACCGCTTATTCAGGGGTTTGGCGGAAGGAAATAGCATTTTTGATGTGAAACATCTATTGGGTCACTTGTAAACCGAATTGTTGGCGCCATATTAGGTTGGGGAAAAAGTCTTTTCGCATTATACTATGTATGAATTTGTAATAAAATCTCTTTGGCTATACTCAGGGCCTGATTAACCCTTAGGCTAATTAGGCTGCAGCCTAGGGCGTGACGATCTAGGGGGGCGCAACGTTTGGTTTCTTAGGGAAACTGCATGAACTAGACGACAGACGCAGAACCCCAAAGCGTTTGTTGCAGTCAATTTTTTTTTTTAAACTAAGCCAATAGAAGTAATGCAGCCAAATACGACAAGGATTTGGTATTCTTCTTGGTAGCCTGTAGTCACTTGTCATGATATTGGTCGTGTAACGCGTTAAGTGCTTTTCTTTTGTGCTTGTAGGGGCGTGTCCTGATGATTAGCCTAGAGCGGTCAGAACTCTTGATCAGTCTTTGGCTATACTATATGTATTTGCCTGTTTTTGTTATCATTGAAAGTTGAGATTTCCAAATTCATATTAGGATAATGTGTGTTTTTTATTTATTTTTGATGTGAAACATCTATAGCCGCACGTAAAACGGATTTCTGCCCTGCGACGCATGCCGTGGCGACGCACTAGTGGGAGTCCCATGTTGTTGCCTTCGGGCTTCAGCCAAATGGGTTGGCATGACCGGGGCAGTGTCACTATTTCTCAGAAAACCGGCGTGAAGTGATGCAAAAGGTTCGGGCAATTCTGTGCTCAACAAAAATAGTAATCGTCGGGGCAAACGGAGCTATCATACAAAGGCACCCCCGTCCACACTCGCCGTGGACTTCACAAATGTTAGGGGTCTCAATTCTAACATCAACGCTGTCCACTATCACTTAGAGACTGCGAAGCCGGCCTTGCTCTTTCTTACCGAGACTCAGATATCCTCCCAGGCTGATACTTCCTACGTCAGAGAGGATATCTGTTCTCGTCGCCTCGGGACGCTTGAAAGAAGGGACCTATCTAACCTCTGGCTGCGCGTAGACTGCGATGACCATCCGCGATTCTACGCATGCCTGTATAGGTCCCATAGCGGAAATACCGAAACTGACCGACTCATTGAGCACATCCAAATGGCTACAGATTCCCTGCTCGAAAGGGTTCCTACCGCTGAAATCGTGATACTTGGCGATTTTAACGCCCGTCATGCCAATTGGCTCGGCTCTGAAACCACCGATCACGTGGGAAGATCCTTTCACGACTTTGCTTTAGCCTACGACCTGACACAAATGGTCCCTGCGATTTCGCGAATACCAGATGTGGATGGTCATAAACCCTCTTTGTTGGACCTTCTGCTGACTTCACATCCGGAGAACTATCAAGTCTCTGTTGACCCGCCATTGGGTTCATCGGATCATTGTGTGGTCCGGAGTACTGTGTCTTATACTTATACAACGCAGAGCGGTTCGAATCGTCGACGACCAATCCCTCTCCGAGCGGCTTGATCCTTTGGTGTTGCGTAGAGATGTGGGGTCACTCTGCATCTTCTACCGCATTTACCATGGAGAGTGTTCAGAGGAGTTGTTCGGATTAATACCTGCGGCTGAGTTTCATCATCGGACGTCGAGGCAGAATACGAAATTCCACCCGTATCACCTCGACATCCGCCGTTCCACAACTGAGCGTTTTTCAAGGCAGTTTTTGCCGCGCACCACCACTATGTGGAACCAGCTGTCCACTGAAGTATTTCCGAACCAATTCGACTTAGGAGCCTTCAAGAAAAGAGCGTACCAATTCTTAAAAGGCCGGCAACGCACTCGCGAGCACTCTGGCATTGAGAATGTCCATGGGCGGCGGTATCACTTAACATCAGGTGAGCCTCCTGCCCGTTTGCCCCCGTTCTATAAAAAAAAACGCGTCGCCACGCTATATGATTGTATATATGTATATATACAGTCTTTATGCAGTAGTGTGTACGGTGTGTGTAATTCGAAGTCACTAGCCGCGTACTGACTGAGCGAGCAGCCTCGCGAAGCAGCCTCGGACGTTTGCTTCGCAACGTTTGCCGCGCGAGGCAGCCTCGGTCTGTAAGTTTTCTAATCCGAGGCTGCCTCGCGCGGCAAGTCCGAGCCATCGTGAGCATCGACGCTCAGTTTAACTTGAAGTCGAATAGAGACCGCGCGTGCCCGTATAGTTTGCCCGAGACCGCCGATATTTATTTAAATTAAAAATAGAATTAGTGCATAAAAAGATAACAATAACACCACAAAATGATGACTCGTAAAGCTACAACTAAAGATATTGAAATGAGACTGAAGCAGGCTTTGCTGGAGCAGAAGAAATTGCAGGATCTCAATAATAATTTACTGCGAGAACGTGAGGACAGTGAACTGGAAATTCAGAATATTGTTAAGAAAAACACTGAACTTAAATGTGAACTTTCTGAAATACATATTAAATATTCAGATATTGTGGATCAGTGTGTGCATTTACAGGATATTGTTGACTCTTATAAACAGTGCTATGATACTCATGAGCAGGCTTTGAATCGCATCAGTGACTTGGAATTAAGTTTGTCAGAGGCACATAAAACTATGCAAATACTTGAAAATAAGGTTGCCATAGAAGCTGATGCCTCTCAGAGCCTGTTTAGTGAGTTGAACAGCAGTGATCCAGGTATGGTAAATGATCAATGTGATAATATTGATATTGGGTGCATTAAGTCAAACCCAACTGGTTCCCTATTTATGAGTAGCAAAAGAATTAAAAAATATGTCCGGCTTAATAAATTCATTAAAAAAACTAACAAATTAATTAGAAGGAAAAATCATTTTAAATATCACTTATTACTTAGCCAACAACATGCACTTTTAAAAAAGAAATGGAAATCTTGTAAAGAAAATGTATTTAAAAGTCAATGTTCATATGATAGCACAAACACACAATTAAATATTAAAATTAGTCAACTGGAGCAGTGCATAAATGATATGTGTAATAATCATCATGACATGTTTAAAAAAATTATGGAATACCAAGTATCTGCGAGGCATGACATGATTGATCTGTGTAATTATAGTACTGAGAGGTATGCATCTCTCACTAGTAAGCATTGTGCATGTGCTACTGAGCAAAGTAATGGGTTGATTTATCATGACCAAGTTCCTTCACAGCTAAATGAAGATAATTCATCACCAAAGTCCCCCATGCCAGAGTTTCCTCTTACAAGCAATGTAAACACTCAAAGAACTAATACCTACATCTTTTCAGATAGGTTGGGGCAAGGGCTGGGCCAGTTACTAGGAGATGAGTTATCTCAAAATGTTCTTAATATTTGTTTACCTGGAATATCTTACCAAGGGATTGTAGATAAAATAT